TTGAATGCAAAATATAATCAGACAGACGATCTTATTTTCAATTTAACAGATAAAATTAATTTGTCATGCTAGTAACCTTTCCAAAAACAGATTCATAAGTAGATAATCCGCTGTAAACTTCAAAAATATCAAAATCTAATATTTTTTATTTTTTGTGGACCCCTGTTAATCCCTCAATAATAAGTAAATGGTAATGTTGACAAGTGCTCAACAAGTGAAAACGTATATAGGAATATATGTTTTATCATTTAAACTCATCAAAACGATTGGAGGATGAACAGGAGGAAACAGCTTAATTAAGTCTTATCTGAAAAAATCCTTTATCACTCCATCCCACATGAGAATCCACTTAGTCTAACATCAGTTTCTTGTGCGAAAATTGTTGTTTTTTAGTTTTTAGCCCACTATATTATGATTGTTTATTAATCCATTTGTGCTATTAAAGCTACCATCTATCAACATAGACGGCATAAAATGTCATTTTGAAAACGAATGTTTCGGATTGGGAAACAAAGGTTGAGTTATGCGTCAATCCTCGACAGATTTAACAAAAACATTCATTTATTTATTGATTGACAATAAAGTGGGATTCACCATTGCCATTGTTTTGAAAACTAGCAAAATGCTAAATCCACTTCTGTTTCTAAAGTCAAAAATTTCATCAAAACACTTGGAGACAATGTATACATCATTTATCCTTCCTCATTTAGAACAAGGCTCAACTTTTATTGACTCCTCCTCAAGAGTCCATATTGAAAAGCTCAATAGAATTCACTATCGTGCTGCGCTTATAGTTTCAGGTGCTATCACCGGATCAAATTTTGACAAAGTTTTACAAGCCTTGGGATGGAAATCCTTACTTGAGCGTAGACAGGAAAAGAAGGCAATATTAATGTTCAAAGTCAACAGAGGAATGGTCCCCACCTATGTTCAAGATATATACACACCTCTTTTAAACCCAGCTTATAGACCAGGACTAAGAACTCAACGTCAATATATAATCCCAGCCTCTGCATCATCAAAATTCCTAAATTCGCCTGCAATATCTCCTATTAAAATATGGATACCTATCCCAGTGCAAATCAAAAACAAAGTAGTCCATTTGTCACTCCTATGCATCCTATAGTGAACCTATGAATTGTTAAAAACACGATGTTTTTTGGTTAATTTATGACGATAAGGGTTTCCTGAAGAGATTTAGCTGGGTTGGACAAAAAGTTAGTTTGGGGAAAAAATAATATAGGCTAATTAGTGAGGCCATTATTGAAATATTGATTGTTTTCTATATCTTAAAATGTAAAAATGGAAGCAGCATAATTAATTTGTCTAAACTTGTGTTTTCAGGGTTAATGAATAAGATATTGTTAAAATATACAAGAATAACCATGGCTGTCAGAGGGGGGGGGGGTTGCGACGCACCCCCCTCTGACAACCCGAAAAAAATTGGGGAATTTTTTTTTTGAAAAGTATTTTTCTCTCTAATTTTTTTTCAATTGACTCATACACTTTGAAAGTGCCCAGAAAGCACCAAATGGCATCTTAAAATTGTAAAATTTTCTAGGGGGAGTGGGCCACCCCCACAACCCCCACACAAACAATTGAAGGGTTCTGAATTTATTATGTATTGTCTCAGACACTTTTTAAGTGCCCAGACATCATCAAATAGCTCCTTGATATAGTCAATGTTTCTTGGGGACTAACACTTGCTCCCCCTCTGGCATCCTCACCCCACCTCCCCCTCGGGGATCCCCCCAAAAAAAAAAATTAGAAAAAATTATGATTTTTTCTTATTGACTCATACACTTTTAAAGTGTCCAGGAAGCACCAAATAGCATCTTAAAATTGTAAAATTTTCTTGGGGGAGTGAGCCATCCCTCACACCCCCTTCAAAACAATTGAAAAGTTCTGAATTTATTTTATGTATTGTCTCAGACACTTTTAAAGTGCCCAGACATCATCCCCCCTTTGGTATCCTCATCCCACCTCCCCTTCGCCCTCCCTAAAAAAAAAAATTATGATTTGATCTTTTTTATGGACTCACATCACATCCCCCACAAAACAATTGACAAAAATTCTGAATTTATTTCATGTATTGTCTCAGACACATTTCAGGTGCCCAGACTTCATCAAATAACACCTTTATATGGTCAATGTTTCTGGTGGACAGATATGGGGGACAAACACTTGCTCCCCCCTTTGGCACCCCAACCCTACCTCCCCCTTTGGCACCCCTACAATTTGAAAAAATTGTGATTGTTGTTCATTTCTTTTATTGACTCATACACTTTAAAAGTGAACAGAAAGCACCAAATATCATCTTAAAATTTTCTAGGAGAGTTGGTCACCCATCACATCCCCCACAAAACAATTGAAAAAATATGAATCTCATATATTATCTCAGACACTTTTAAAGTGCTCAGACATCATCAAATAGCACCGTGAAATGGTCAATGTTTCTGAGGGAAAACCCCTTTCCTTTGCTGCCCACTCGCTCCTCTAAGAAGAAAATGATTAAAAAATCAGAATTTCTTTAAATTGATTCTATTGCCTTCTAGCACACCCTCCCCCTATTCCAATGTTTCTCCAAATTGCTCATACAATATTTAGTCTAAAAACAATATGAAGACAATAAAATACTACAAAATAGGCTGCTTGGCCTTAATATAGAGAGTAACTGACCCCTCCCTCTGACTTACGCCCTTTGATTTACGCGGAAAATGACAATTTTATTTTCTCCTCATTAAAAACCGCACCCCCTTGGAGAAAAGTGTCTCACAGGCCTGATATCTTATAAGATAGAGTGCATAATTGCAACTTAGCATATTTTATGATTGAAATATCGCATTTATTCAGATATTTTCTATATCAAGCTTGTAATATATTGAAAATTACTGACTAATTAACTAATTAAGGGTTTCTTTTTTGATTTAATTGGGTTGCCAAAAATAACTAATTTCAGGGGAATGATATATGTAAATAAGGGCAGCCATTATTAATGATAGCATCACAATTGATGTGCCCTTACTATACTACATTATATGCAAATTAGCCAAAATGTTTTCAGGGACAGTCAGATATACGGTAATGTTAAAAGATACAATGATAACTTTTTAGATATTGTGCATATATGCAAATTATCATATTTATTATTGGTATTTCGCATTTATTCAAAATATTTTGTTTATCAAGCTTGCAGTACAAAGGAGTGACTAATTGGTGGTTTCCTTAAATTCTTAGTAATTTAATTGGGTTGCCAATTATTGAATTTCTAACATATCTTAGAAAGAAAAAATTAAAGCCCTGGGACCTGGAGACCCATGTTTTAGCTTCAATGAATAAGATAATGTTAAAATATACAAAAATAGCGTATCAGATAGTGTACATATTATATAGTATGCATGTTTAGCATATTTGGAGATATCAAACGTTTTATATGATGAAATTAGATGTGTGTCATCACCAATAGTGACAAAGAAATCAATCAATTACTTGATTTATGCATGTGTTTGATGTATAGAAAAATAATATAACATGAAACAGATCCCTGAATCACACCATGTGTAATTAATGAAGTATGGTTGGATGAGACAATGAGTTGGTGTACTTAGCTATTATGCCATGTTACCACTATTCCACAGTTGATTTCATCGTTTGTTAGTTTATTACAAAATAGTATGGTCAATTGAGTCAAAGGCTTTCAAAAATCGCTTTTATATCATGGACATCTTCATTTGCATATATAATTTTTTCCCCAAGGTTGCCCTTTGTCCAACCCAGCTAAATCACTTCATAAAACCCTTATGATAGTGATTCCACAATAAAACATCGTGTTTTTACAGATTCAAAGGTTCAGAAAATGACACATCGACTAAAGAAACTAAGTCACAGTTCAAAAGATCATATGCAAATCACTTTTTCAAAAAGACTAAAATGATCTCTGCTTTGACACCCCATTTAAATATCAAGAGACCTTTGGAAATAAAACTAAATCGAATGAGATGTGACCTGTCTTTGCGCTCTGATTTTTTCCGGCACAACTTTGTAAATTACCAAGATCCAAGTTGTCCATGTGGGTTTCGAAACCAGACAAAGGTACACTATTTGCTTGATTGCCCTCTTACACATGATGCAAGACAAACATTTCTCCTAAGTCTCTCCCAGCAAGCTGACCCTGACCTCAAACTTTTCTCCAGTAAACGTAAATATGACAAGGTTGATATGATTTTATTTGGTGATAAAGAACTATCACCAAAGCTTAACTCCACACTTATAAATCTATCATCAGATTTTATTAACAAAATATTGTGAAGTGCCATATAGCTACTCTACCTTGCCAAATTTCATATCATCATCACTCATCTTCATCCCATCTGAACACTGCATTTATGTAAATTATGACTACTATTGTATGTGTAAATATCCACTGTATAAAATGTATTTTCACAAGCCAATAATGTGCAAACGTAGGCTTGTTTCTCCATATTCATGTATTATTGTATGTTTATATAATTATGTCTTAAATATGGAAATAAAATAACCTTAAAAAAAACCATTGGGAGGGTAGACATTTCTTTCTCCCTCACAGATAGAAGGTCAAAATCGCTCCGCCGCCAGCTTAAAGGGGCAACAAGGACTGAAGGGAGAAAATTTGAAATTTTTTATTTTTTCTAAGCTATCAGGTCAATATTTGGCTTAACATCTTCGTTGACATACCTATTCTCTTAAAGTATATGGATAAAGTATCAATTTCAGCATTAAGAAGTGTAAATTCAGTTCAAAGCTTCTATAGATAGAGTCCCACTTATAGATTTTTGACATCCACCACGTTTCAAGAGGAATATCAGCTGAAATAATGTTCATCCAGGGGGTTTCTTTGCAGATAATAAAAATATATGTTAGTCTTGATGAAATATCCAAACTTAAATATATTTTGACACTGGTCGATGATCGTTGTTGCACTAATTGTTGCACCTTTAAAATGAGATTTCCTTACTTTGCAGATGACTCTGCTTGAGATTGGAGTGAGAAATGGCGGCTCTTTGAAGATGTGGCTAGACTACTTCGGTCCGGGTATACAAATATATGGCCTGGACATTAACGCCAATGCAAAACGATTTGAACATAAATCACAGGGGGTCAACATCATAATTGGAGACCAGGGAAATCCCCAATTTTGGACCAAAACGCTGAAAACGTTGCCAAAGTTTGACATAGTTATTGATGATGGGGGACACACAATGAATCAGTTAAAGGTAACGTTTGATCATCTATATGATCATGTGAAACCAGATGGTGGGATTTATCTCGTGGAAGATCTTCATACAGCTTATTGGCCAGAATATGGTGGGGGGTTCAAAAAGCCAGAAACTTTTATAGAATACACTAAAGATCTAATCGACCAACTGAATGCAGATCATAGCAGAGATAAGAACTTGGTTGTAACTGATTTCACAAGATGCACACAGAGTATGCATGTATACGACAGTATAGTTGTGTTTGAGAAGTCACCACATCCTAAGTACCAAACAGTACTATCACAGTAATTGCAGAAAATGGAAATATAATGGTATCACTTATTGAAAAGAAAGGGTTTGGTACGCGAATAATAAAGATTAGAATTGCAACATTTTGTCAATAAATATATTTGTACAGATGGAGAATTACCTCTTGATTTTTATTGCAAGCGCCGTGTTACCCTTTGATAATTTAACCTTTTTGGGTTTAGATTATCTCACTTTTGCCAAAGTTCAAACCTAACTGTAACCATGGACTTCTAATCCCCGGATTGCAATCGCATTGGCCAATGATTACTAGAAGTCCATGTTGTCCAGAGTACAAATGACAATTCACTGTAAACCAAGCCTGAAGTTCGCTTGTCAAGCTGGTGTTGATTAATGACCCTAGTATCCAGTTCTTAGCTTTGTTTACTAGAAGGTCAAGCAGGCTTCCACTGTAGAAACTTAATGCTACAACCACTTTTGGTTAATTAAACCGCATTCACTTTTAATGTAATTACTCATTTAAACTTACTTAATTAGAAACTCAAACTTTTACTATAATTTAAAAGCATGATCATTTAATTTTTGCACAAATTTGCATGAGAAGTTAATTTTCTAATAGTTTCTAATTTTTGAAATCTCTAATTTTCTGAGAAGTCTCCTCTTTCTTCTCATCTAAACCAATTTTCGACATTATTTTTTCCTTTGACATTTTACTTATTTTCTGCAAGCAGCAGCTCAAAGGTGCCTATTCAAACCAATGCTAAAAATATCAATTTTGGGCATCACCTACTCAATTATCCAATATCTTCTTTAAACAAAATAATGTAAACTTTTCTTCAACTGATATTGTAAAAACACTGTAAAAAAGTTCTAAAGTAAAAAAAATCTGGAAAATATAGCAAATAGGAAGGAAGGGAACACTCAAAAATGCAGAAAAGCTGATCTATTTTATATTAACTGATACCTTTAAATAGGAACATAATGACCAAATAAATATGATTCAGCAAGTCTTTAATATCATAAGATAATTAGGTGTCAAGTCTAGACAGAGAAATAAAGGTAGAGATCATAAATTTCAAGCTTACCAGACAACATGACAGCCTTCAAACACCACAGTCCGTATTTTCTAAGACAGCTTTTATTACCACTACGCATGTGCAAGAACACCAGATGTGTGATTATGGCTTTCTACCAGTGACAAGTAAAGCGAATTGCACAGTTTAGTGTGCTATGGGCTGTCAATATGTGAAAAAGTAATCTTTGATGTAGTTATGTTTTCTTGCCCTGCATGCAGAGTCGCGAAGTCGAACAAATGCAAGGGGTTATGTTTTCTGTTTTCAGGATCAAGTCAACTTAAATTTTGTTTAGAATGTTTAGAGGGTGAACTTTCCATATTATTAGTGTAAACAATCCCTCTGTGCACACTGTTAGAACAAAAAGGTAATTTTGAGTATTTGAATGATTTAAAGAGTAATGTTTCGTTGATATAATGACTTAAGTAATGACCTTAAGTGAGAGAGGCAAATACTTCACTTGGATGAGGTGAGATGGGGGTTTGGAGAGTTTAATATTTAAAGGGACAAAGTGCGTAAATGAAGTCTCACTTTTGATCTTCATAGTATTTCCAATGGATTAATAAGTACCCGATCTTTCATTTGACACCAAAAAAAGCTCTAACAGACCACATCAGAGTTGACACTTGATCATGACAAAATATTTTTGATCTATCAATTTATATATGTCAAGTTTTTAGCAATGCCATAGAAAGATGGCATTGTTGTTTGCATTAATTATCAATTCATTTTTGACAGGATTTTCAAGCATACGCCATCTTTTAATCCAAGAGTTATTTAAAACATACACTATTTGTGAAAAGTGGTAATTCACTTTTTTCAATCTCTGAACTTCAAATGCTGTTTTCTATGCAAGCAATTTTTTTCACTTCAGTATAATCCCAAATTAAAGTTTTTATCATATTTGATTGACTGTATGAGTGACATGTCTCAAACAATATTTTGTCCTTTTTCATTCAAAAATAGGCGCATTGCCTACGTTTGCCTACGTGTAGAAATCAACAAAATGATGTTATTGACAAAGGGATCATTCCAAACAACGGCCGTAACCTTCGCATCAAGGATAGCTTCCATCGCTTAGGGAAGGTAACTGGGATTTTGGATTTATAGATGATGAAATCCCTGTTACCTTCCTTTAGCGGTGGAAGATACCGTTTGACTATGGTGCCTACGCATAGTATAGAAACAAATATTCACACTCCAGAGTTTCCTTGTCATATAAGCCTGATCTAGTTCAATTATCAAAGCATTAAGACATCTAAAAAGTAGTTTAATTCGGTGAAAACTAAAAATATCGAATCGCACTTCTGTCCGCCATCTTAGATAGTGAACTGGTATTAATTTTCGAGAAATTTAGTGTGTTATTTTCATGACCTGAAATCTATTGCTGAATGTTGAATAATATGAATACACCTTAAATTATGATTATTCAATTCATAATTCTGAGGAAGCGTGTTTATTTTTAGTTTAAATACAAAATTATTAAATATCATGAATTCCTTTTTTCCTTGGATATTCCTTTGGGCTCCTGTATCAGCTTGCATGAGCGGACAACATAGGACAATAATGATCCCTCTAACGATATCATACACTGTGATTACTATATAATTCAAGAAATCATTACCATATTTGTAATTCAAATTTCAGTTTTTCTATTTTCCGATATATCAATTATTGCAAAGGCCCATAAATGCTTGACGTCCAATATTCTCTCGAATAATCATAACAAGCTGAAATGTTGCATAAATGCAATGACAACTGTTACAAATGAATAAATCAATTTGAACAACTCTATAGTATAGATTAATAAAATAAAAAGTCAATGCTGTGATTTATGTCTAAACTCAAGCAATGTCAACAAAATTGTTTCACTTTACTGTTTTTTGTATTCATCGTTTGATCAGCTTAGGCTTGGGAATTCAGTTATAAAATGTACAGAAGTTTCTTGTGTTCATTCGCTTCCCCGTGGCCAGTTTTGAAAGAAGAAGGGGGCTTTTTCCAAGGGAAGGGAGCTTTTTGACAGTTTTGGTTAAAAGATCATGCGAAAAGTGCTTAGAATGAAAAAATGCATGATATTTAAAGAATTTCTAGCCAGCTCCCCCTCCCCTGGCTACTAGCCTAATTTTCTCATCATTAGCATACTCATGCATGTGTAAGGCCAAAGTAAAAAGAATATGAAGACAAAAAGAATATATTCTCTTTTACTGAACTTTTTTCAGTCACGATTTCAGAGGGCTGAAAAAGCAATTTCAGCAAGGTAAGGGTCATTTTGACCATGACCATTGCATTGTGATCCTGGTCATGTAAATGATATATGGGAGTAGTGAAAATGATTGAAGGTTAATGCAGAACTCTGTTATCTTAGTTAAAAAATTCTAATGACTTAAACATTTTTTGAGTATGCTTTTTATAAGAACGTTCATTAACAGTAATCAAATATCTTCCATTTCGGAATTATTTTGTGTATGAATAAATTGCGTATGTAAGATTATGTAAAATAATTATTATGTTCATTCGTGGAGACGATGCCAATTCTGTAACTGATTAATCGGAATAACTGCATGTACTGATGCACGTTTTAAGACTTGCGAAAATTGATCGCTCTTCATATTAGTATTACTGTACACTTGAACGTTGGTGACCTTGTAATATTAGAACATGCTTCAGCTTAGACATAGGCTTAGAAAAATACAACCTAGATAATATACTGAGACACCGAAATGTCTGAGAGAAATGTAAAACAACATTGTAAGGCCTTGCAGGAGAAATTCAAACACAAGATTAAGACCGAGTATTTCCATGATGGTGTACTGTTTGAGGGGTTAGCTACAAGCAAGGAAAGTCTTCTTGAGATCAGAGACTTGGAGCTTCGCGATGGTGATATTCTCATAGACACTTATCCAAAGTGCGGTGAGTAAATGAATCTAATAACATACTCCTAAACATCGCATAAACAGGCGTCACCGTAAAGCGTCAAAACTGAAAATATAGTACTCAGTAGTGTGCAGTTTTCTGTACGGTGGCGAAATTAACTTATTTGAAGCAAAAACTATGATGAGGGTTTTTAAAATAAAAGGACCTTATACACCCGCCATTGGGATCTCCCCATGGGAAAAAAATAATTCATCTGATTTTTCAAAATGAATATTCTGCTTCAATTATTACATTTATATGCACACTAGTTGACCTATATTCAGCACTGTATTGATGTATAGGCCACTTATTAGGGTCATAATTCAATCATGAAGTGTAGAGGCATAGATTCCAAACCAGGAAGTATTTTTGTGTCTGTCAAAATCCATTTACATCCTACGCATCCCTGCATCTTATCCAAATATGTTACTACATAATGAAATATAATAGTATAATCTTTGGTTTTACAAACTTGTATGATATTTGATAAGTGTAAAAGTTGTTTTTGGAGCATTTTTCTATAGCCATTTTGTAGGGAAAGAAATGATAAAAAAATGTACAATCTTTTAATTTTAAGTATGACCTGAATCGATTGCAAACTTCATATTTGCACATTTGATGAGATAAACCATTTGTGTCGTATTGTTATTAAATTATTAAGTTTGCAATCGATTCAGGTCATAGTGTATTTTTGGTATTTCTGTGATAATCAATTGAAACCAATGGCCTCTATTGGGATCTGCTGATATCCTCATGTCAAATCAATGGTTCACAGCCCCATGTAAGTCAATACAACCTTACTGAACGAAATGATCCCTATCTCAGCTTATGTGTGTCCGAGCACTTTAATATTTTCCAAAGTATTATATGACATTTTATTCTTCATGTTACACCTACGAATGATTCATTTTGACCATAGGAATATTTGCCAATAATTGCACCTTGTCCTTTGATGAAAACAGATACGATTTCGTGTGTTATAGAAAGTCCGAGAGTATGGGTTATTTTTCCGAGAATATATATTTTAACCATAGGCAAAGGCCGATAGGAATAATTTTTAAATAAAGATGGCATGGTGGTCGATCTTTGTTTATTTTTAAAATAAAATTTGATGAAAACAGATACGATTTCGTGTGTTATAGAAAGTCCGAGAGTATGGGTTATTTTTCCGAGAACCTATGATTTTAACTACATATATAGTAGGCCAGTTGAAGATTTAACAAATAAAAAATCAGATCTGTACGGTGACACGTCGACTGTACGGTGACGATGTCGTCATTGGAATTCTGAGATGTTCAAAAAGCTACATATTGCCTAACTAGTACAAGACGTATTTGAGAGATAGATTCGATTCCGAACTCTTCTCTAATAATCTGAAAATAATGTCTAAATAAAATGGTAAAAAATTGTGTACAAAATCGACAGAGCGTTTCGAGGAAATATTATAAAATATTATTTAACCTCATCTGAAAATGTTAACTGTTTTTTATTCTTGACACATGGCGCTTAGTATGTGGATTCATTACTTTATCCATAATAATATGTGCAAATTCGAGATAGATTTGTTACACACCAGTAAAACTTGGAGACCTAGTGGACTTTGTGAACAACGAACCTGCATTGCTAAATACGCGAAATTACGTCAGCTCGTGTCATTTGACCTATCATGTCTCTATATAACTATTCATTAGAGTCGAGGTCATGTTTGAACGCATCTACATGCATGCATTCGTTTGACTTCACTTCTTAATAGAGCTTTGTCAAGTTTATATCTATAGACTCTGCGCGCAGGGTACTGCATCGTGTGAAAACGTGTGAAAATAAATTATGAAATGAAAAAAACATTTCAAATACATTTAGCACAGAGACATATAAAATGCCTCTGTTTAGCATGAAGGTCACCTCGTCACCGTACAGAATCTGTTTATTGTAATAACATCCAAAATGAAAGTCAGGTTGACATAAACTCTCTGTATAATAAGATCTGCTATTCGTTATGTTACTGTTATCTACGGAGTAAAACAAAAATTAGCGAGGATTTTGTGAAATTCAGGCAAAAAATACAGACAGCTGACGGTATGGGCATGTATGTTCATGGTGTCCAACCCAAACGCTCTTACATGCACAACTAACGGAGCGTTTCATTCACACGGAAACGCTGCGGAGCGAAATAAAATGGCGGCTAATGAAGATCCCACTATGGCCGTACGTATTGTTTCACTCGTTTCTCTTACATATCGTACGTTATGGTGACATATTATGTACCATTCGATGAACTATAACCTGAGCAAAGATCTTATTTATTCAACTTCTGGTGGTAAACTGTTATGTGCTTGATCAAAGCTCCGTAGTGTAGATCGAACGAATCTGAAGTTGACGAATTGACCACAAATTACGAATAAAATTTGTATTTACTATGAAAACGTCAATCTTTCTGTCAAAATAGTAGATCAAAAACTCGTATATTCTCATTTGTTAAAATCCCAGTCCAAATTCATCACTTGTTCTCGAGAAATCGCTTGTTTTCCTCGAAACGCTCCATCGATTTTGGATACATTTTTAGAAACGCTGTTACCATTTTGTTTTGATATTATATTCAGATTATTAGTGAAGAGTTCGGAATCGAATCTATCTCTCAAAAACGTGTTGTACTTGTTAGGCAAATTGAAACTTCCCAACCTGGTGATGCTACACGTGCAACAAGCCGATTTTAAGCCTACATTAGATGATGTTTTGCCTTCATGTGTGCTAAAACATATTTGAACTATTGACAAAAAAACAAAAAGTTTAAATGTGAATTAATCTGTTTTCTTTTGATGCCAAGGGGTATTAATAGATCTTTTCCTTCTCTTCCTGAAAAGGAAGGTCAAGCTAATTCCGGGATCCTACACATATCTAGACTAGTACCGCAGCGTTTCCAGTTCACACAGATCGCAGCGTTTCTTGAATCTGAGAATGTCATCATTTTTAAGACTGGATTTTCGATGAGATCACAATTACGATAATGTATGGTGTGTTAAAGCTTTGTTATTTGACCAAAATATACTCTGATGCTCTTATTTTGACTCGACTAATCAACTGTCTCGACAAAAGGGGTTTTGAATATGAATTGTTTATGAATTTTGATAACTATATTGGTTTGTACAGCTCTTCCTAATTGCTTCAAACGTCAACAGCTAGCCAAGTACAACATGGATATCACACCCATCGAATGGTATACTCGAAATAAGTAACATATACCTCTTATTCCCATTATTTGGGAGATCGTCAGACGACTCATCATTTCCGCCCGCCATTTTCCTACTCCGGTGCGTTCCTTTGTTTAGTTTCAGTAATGAAACGCTCTGTCGTGCATGTAAGAGCGTTTGGGTTGGACACCGTGCATTGATGTTTTACAAGAAAATCACGTTGAAGTGGATCATCTGAAGTTGACACACATATTCGCAATTCTCTTACCGAAAGAATGCAGTGAACTGACCCAATGTTGATAAAATCAATGATATTTCTTATCTCGATTCTTCCGTCGATAAAATGGTGGTCCAAAATGGCGAAAGCTGTACGCTGTACGGTGACGCCTGTTTACGCAATGGTTAGGCGAGATTTAGAGAACATCAACTCATATAAAACCCCTGTCTTGTTTTACTCGCCAATCTTCAAATCCATGTCAGTCGGTAGTGAAAGTCTTCTTTTGGATTACATACGACGCTTGTTTATGCTGGCGATTTAAATAATTCATCAAATTTCTCATCTACATCTCAACAATTTCCAAGCATTTTTAATAACTAAGGAACAAATTAGATTCAAAGATTGACAGGCTTTGATATGCTATATCCAATAAAACTTCCGGCTGCCATATGATATGATTATTAATGAATTTATGACATTTGAATTTAGATGTAAAAACGGCGTTTCTGTCGTCATCCATAAACAATTCTGTTCTGCGTTTCTATTCAACTCAATAAGAAAATTGAAAGAAATAATCCGAGATAAAAAATACCAAAATCATTCAAATTAATCAAAAATATATGTACAATTAATCTGATAATAATCTGAATAATGTGTTGATTTCAGGAACGACCTGGATGATTCAAATTGTCTCCTTGATTCTAGCCAAAGGGGATGTTGACAAGGCTAATGAAAAACCAATACATGAGAGAGTACCATTCTTAGAACTCTACGGTGAATATAAGCAACTTAAAGATATGCCGATTGAAGCCCAACGATGCATGAAATCCCATCTGCAATTGCGCATGCTCCCAAAGCAGACGACAGAAAAGAAGGTCAAGGTCATATATGTGGCAAGGAACCCTAAAGATACCGCAGTGTCATTTTATCATTTATATCGAATGGATAAAACTTATAATTTCCAAGGCACTTGGAATGAGTTTTTCGAAATGTATATCGACGGTTACCTACTATGGGGAAATTGGTTTGATCACATAAAACAGTATTGGAATGCTAAACAGGATGGTACTTTCTCTGAAATGTTTTTAACAACTTATGAAGACATGCACAAAAATCCATTCAAATCTGTTAAAGATGTTGCCACTTTTCTTAATGTGGAACTCGATGAAAACACTGTTGCAAAAATTGCAACTGAATCAAGCTTCGACAAAATGAAAGCTAACCCAAATACAAATTTCCGATTTGAAGAATGGTTCGACTTGAGCAAAAGTGAGTTCATGAGAAAGGGGAAAGTTGGCGACTGGAAAAACTATTTCACCGTCAATCAGAGTGAGCAGTTTGATAAACGTTTTGCTGAAAAAATGGAGGGCTGTTCTTGGAAATTTGATTATGAATAGGAGTATGAAAATTATAACCAGTGATGACATACACAATGCTGCCTTTATAAACAAGGCACAGACGTGAACAATATCGTACCTAAAACACAGCATTGTGGTCTTGTTGACCAAGAAAGCAAGATGGCCGCAGAAAAGTTAATCAGCTCTAGAACTTATCAATCACTGTGTAACATATGTAAAAATGTGAACGGTTTGGCTGGAAACCTGTAGACAAGCCTCGATAGACTACAAGATTTTAGAACGGAAAATCTAAAATGGCAGCCTTAACATTTACCCAGAATGCCCAAAAACTAATCAGTTCTTGACGTAGATATGTAGAAACATCCCTAAAAATTTCAGATGAATCCCTCAAATGGTTTGGCTGGAAACCTGTAGACAAGTCTTGAAAGTGAAGATTTTAGGACGGAAAATCCAAAATGGCCACCTTAAAATTTACCCAGAATGCCCAAAAACCAATCAGTTCTTGATCCGTTGATATGTAGAAACATCCCTGAAAATTTCAGATGAATCCCTCAAATGGTTTGGCTGAAAATCTGTAGACAGGTCTTGAAAGTGAAGATTTTAGGACAGAAAATCCAAAATGGCCACCTAAAATTTAACCAGAATGCCCAAAAACTAATCAGTTCTTGACGTTGATATGTAGAAACATCCCTGAAAATTTCAGATGAATCCCTCAAATGGTTTGGCTGGAAACCTGTAGACAAGCTGAAAAGTGAGACGCCGCCCGCCACTCGCCCACCCGCCGCCCGTCAAGCTGACTACAATATCGTACTTCTTGTTAGGTACGATAAAAATAACGACATTGAAAGTCCAAATCCAACAATCGCTAACCAGTGCACAATCATAATTCCGATCATTCATCCTTGAATGGTTACCGACCTGCCGACCGTCAGCATTAAACACCAATGCTAAATATGTAATGACAAATAGTGCAGTCAGAATGTGGGTTTCGGCGTGCGTTCAGAGGGATTTTATGAGACATAATTCTTCATGTTACTACTATGATTATACATATTTTTATGGATTTATTAGGTCTTAGTTTTTCAGCTTTTAGATTTTGTGGCCATTTAACCCCCCATGGGCTAAAATTTGGACCCCTACTATAAAATTGGGCAAGAACTCAAAAAATACTCAGTGGAATGTTTCCAAATTACATTGTTATATTGGTATAGGCTAATTGAATATATGATAAAAATTTCATGTCACATGGTTAAGTGGTTGCCATGGAAATGGATAAAACATGCCCTTCGGGTGTCAATTTTCAGGCCAATTTTTCAGGACTGACAGAGTCATTTCATGCATATTTTGTCACCAATGTGTTAGGAAGGGTTAAAATGTTAGTAGAAAACTTCTATAATATATTAGCAACAATTGTATGTAAAGATCAGTCCACAAAACCTCAGATTTTGGCCTTGTATTGGTCCATGACTTATACAGGGGTCTATTTCATAGACTCGAGCTCCCACATTGGATGGATGCTATAACTTTTGAAATAATGGAGATACGGGTCTCATTTTTTCAGATCTTCATAAATGGTTAGTTTTAAGTATTTTTATATACTTTGGGAGCTGACATGTGATTGGTTGCCATGGTAACCAGGGTTTTAGGGAAATTCTGACCCCAACATTGGATGGATGCTATAACTTTTGAAATAAGGGAGATACATGTCTCATTATTTCAGATCTTAGACAATGATTGATTATAAATACTAAATTAGACTTTGGGAGCTGAAATTTGATTGGTTACCATGGTAACTAGTTTTTATTGAAATTTGGACCTCCTCAATTGATAAATGCTTTAACGTTTGAATTTAAGCAGATACAGATATCATCATTTCAGGTCTTAAAAATTAATTAGGTTTGTGTATTGAATTAGACTTTGTAGCTTAGCATTTAGTTGATTGCCATGGTAACCATGTTTCGTCGTCATGGTACCCTTAATTTTTTATTTCATTTTTACCTTCATTTGAGAATGGTCAATTCACAACATGTTATACCAAAACGCTCAAAATTATTATTTTGCTCTTAAATTCAGCAATTTATCCTGTATGTCTGACAGTATAGCCTCATTCCATTCTACTAGTTCTCACACATATTCTGACTCCCAACTTGTTTTTACTCATCATTATCGTTTTTATCTTCCACAATTACCTCTTAATTAAAAATATCAACAATTTCTATTGGAAAGAAGGATTCTTTTGACCATTCTTGTGTTAAAGATTTGTCAGGGAATTCACAGTTCATTCATGCAGTGTTGGGCACAATGGTAGAGCTGGGTTTAGGCTGGTGGGAATGTGTCCATACATAGGTTTGATAATTTACCCTCTTCAAATGTGAAAGAAAATGTCAACACCTTCATAAGTGAGGGCAGCACTGTTCTGTTTTGTTCTGTATCTCATGGGAAACAGCTCATCTTGTAATCTATTAGTGGCAGTTATTTTTCTATTTCTGCTGTTTTTTTGCAGGTGAACAATTCAACTTTCGATTTTATGGTAGCGGGAATTCCTATATTGTTTCCTATAGAAGAAAACAACTTTAAGAATTGTTTTTTTTTCCGTTTCAGTTGATTTACTTTTCCTTTATTCTGATCCAGTAAACGCATTGAAGGCTAATATGGCTTCATACAGGACTTGGTCCTAGGTTTGCAGCTACAGGGGTTGGGTTGAGATTCTGACATCTAATGGGACATAGTTCACATTTGAGGTTCTTAAGGTTGTTTTCTTCATAATAGGAATCAATATAGAAATTTCTGACACAAAAATCCAAAGTTGAATTGTTCACCAGTAAAAGTACAGCAGAATTACAAAAATATGTTTGTAACTTACATCAATAGATAACGATATGAGCTGTTTCACATAAGATATTCTCCAAAGCAGAACAGTGCTGCCCTCACTTATGGAGGTGTTGACATTTCAACTCTTCCCATCTTTCAAGACTGGTCCTTCACTGCTTTCATAGCAACTAATATAATGCAATGAATTAAATGATGAACTCTTCCACCTTGTAATGATTGCTCATTATAACATTTGAAGAGGATGGATGATAAAACTTATATTTGGAAGTGGAAACATTACCCCCCCCCCTCGTCTCCCATCGAGTTCACTGTATATAAACCTTGAGGGGATCCTCAGCTCAGGTGGGGTACTTATGACATTTGATATGGCAATGGACCCAAATTTTAGGATCTGGTATGAGAATGCTCTCCAAATTGACTTGAGAGGTATGGCAATGGTCGGATTTGGGAATGGTTGTGAAAAATATGTTGCCCCTCACTTGTTTTACATGTATGGCATTGATCTAGTATATCCTTAATGTGAGGTTGTTTTTGGTTGTTTTCCTCAATGATCTGCCTTCTTCTCGAGGCATTAGAAATTTTGAATGGCCATGTTTTCATATCTGGATATTTGGTATGGCACTGGTCCTATATTTGGGCATTTGGTATGGCTTTTGGGCATTATTTTGGTTGATATCGGAACACATTCAAATTTGACAGATTGGATGGGAACATATTGATATTTGAGGGTTCAGCCAAGGATCCCAACCACATTTTACATACAGTGAATCCACAGGGACCAGTCTAAACCCATTCTACCAAGTCCAATACTGCATGAATGGACTATATCCCCTGAGGATCCTTATCTCCAGAATGGTCAAAACAATCCTTCATTCCAACAGAAATTGATGTTAAGAGGAAATTGTGCTAAATGAAAACAGTAATGATGAGTACAAATGAATAAATTGGGAGTCAGAGCTTTTGTAAGAACTAGTCGTATGGAATAAGGCAATATTGTCAGACATACATGTATTGTTTACTAGTATTTGATATTTTATGAGCCAAACAATGTTTGCATCTCTAGTATTATTGAGTCATGAGCATGTAAATCATATAAAATACAAAAAAAATCCCCAAATTAAGAATAAAATGGTAACTTTGAGCAACTTGGTATTTTAGAATAAAGGTGAATCTGAAAACGAAAACAGCAGTTACCATGACAATGAAACATGGTTACCATGGCAGACAAATAAATCCTAGCTTCCAAAGTCTAATACAATACACACATATTATTATTATCTTACATCCGAAAAGATTATATCTTATCTGGCTGTATTTAAGAGTTATAGTGTTCATCAATTGTGGAGGTCTGAATTTCAACAAAACCCTGGTTTCCATGGTAACCAATCAAATTTCAGCTTCCAAAGTCTAAATCAATACTTTAAATCCATCATTGTCAAAAATCTGAAAAAATGAGACATGAATCTCCCTTATTTCAAAAGTTATAACATCCATTCAATGTCGGGGTCAGGATTTCCTTAAAACCCTGGTTACCACGGCAACCAATCATATACCAGCTCCAAACTTATATCAAAATACTTAAAACCAACCATTTATGAAGATTTGAAAAAATGAGACCTGGATCACCCTTATTTCAAAAGTTATAGCATCCATCCAATGTGGGAGCTCGAGTCTATAAAATAGACCCCTGTATAAGTCATGGACCAATAAAAGGCCAAAATCTGAGATTTTGTGGACTGATCTTTACATACAATTGTTGCTAATATATTATAGAAGTTTTCTATTTACATTTTAACCCTTCCTAACACATTGGGGACAAAATATGCATGAAATGACTCTGTCAGTCCTGAAAAATTGGCCTGAAAATTGACACCCGAAGGGCATGTTTCATCCATTTCCATGGCAACCACTTAACCATGTGACATGAAATTTTTATCGTATATTCAATTAGTCCATACCAATATAACTTAGTAATTTGGAAACATTCCACTGAGTATTTTTTGAGTTCTTGCCCAATTTTATAGTAGGGGTCCAAATTTTCGCCCATGGGGGGGTTAAATGGCCACAAAATCTAAAATCTGAAAAACTAAGATCTAATAATCCATAAAAATATGTATAATCATAGTAGTAACATGAAAAATTATGTCTCATAAAATCCCTCTGAACGCACGCCGAAACCCACATTCTGACTGCACTAAAAGCCTTGGTTGTGTAGCACGGATGGGCGACTAACAAAAGATAGCATTGTTTAGCATTGTTTTTCAGAGAAGAGAAAGGTTCACAGAATGTCATTGATGTTTAAAGTTCAGGCAAATCTAGTGCCTTGATATGTCTCAGAAATGTTAACTAAATTTCGCAGACCTACCATTAGAGAAGGTCTAAGATAGTAAGATACACCTCAATGTATCAACTTCCGGTCAAAAGATCAAATACTTTGAATAAATCGTGTATAATTTCAATTTTAAATGAATGGAATGCTCTCCAACCGGAAATAAAGCAAAAAGAAAATGTTAAATTATTTAATAAAAAAGGTTTCCTCGAAGAAATTGCTCCACCTAAAGTAATCTTAGCACCTGACCTCCACATAACAAGGCATCAAGAAATAATTTTGTATAGAGTCAGATAAGACCTTATTTTCCAAGCACATCTTCATGCCCACAATTTTACAAATGTACAAACTCCTACATGTTATTGCAACCAAGATAATGAAACCACACACCATGCTATTTTCAATTGTCCCCTCAGGAAACCATTTTTAGTAGACTTTGAAGCACAACTCTGCCAACTAAAGTTTGGTTACTTTAATACATTTAAAACTAAAATGGAAAAATTACAATTATTCTAATATGGTACTCCATCACTTACCAGATGTTTGAATATTAAAGTACTCAGTCTCAGTGCAATATTTCTAGAAAAGTGTCCAGCCACCACACAGGCCCCTGTTGAGTGAACTTTAAACATTTTACCTTGATTATAAGGTTTTATATACTGCATTCATACTTGGCTAATAATGCTCTTTGAGCCTAGCCAAATTGTATTGTATTAGTTATTGATTTTTGTGAAAATAAAATAAACTATAAATAAAAAATGTTTTTCACATTCAGTTTATTGCACTGATATGATGACAGGCAGATGAAATGTACATATGGTGGTGTTATTCACTAAAAGTACACACTTCCAATTTCAAATACACTACAACTGTACATTGTGCATGTACATTGATCCAACTTATGTTATTCTTTCTCTTCAAAAAAGCTTTTTTATCTTGTTGTAATTCTCTGATTTGTTATTTTTAATCTTCATAATTCTGTACCTTCTTTTTTCTCTTTGTAATTCACAATTGAATTCACTGTTTTATGCCCCCTACCTTCCCTATTGACAGTCGTCAAGACAAGTGTCAGTCAAGTAATTAACTACAATGCTATTGCAATTATCGTTATCATAGATCCATTCCATATATTGACTATCTACAGTATATCTACAGAACATCTTGGTATACAGACCACTTATTATCATTAATTACATATAGGTTCATTTTATAATATATACAATAGTTACATTATATATCCCAAAACTAAAGAGATACTATCCACCAAATGGCATGTCTACATGTGCATTCTCCATATGCAGGATGTATCAGAATAAACTACAATGTATATTTCTTCAAATGGATAAATCAATCCTTTGATCCTTGTTCTTGGGGAGTGATTCCTCATGCAGGATGTATCAGAATAAACTACAATGTATATTTCTTCAAATGGATAAATCAATCCTTTGATCCTTGTTCTTGGGGAGTGATTCCTCATGCAGGATGTATCAGAATAAACTACAATGTATATTTCTTCAAATGGATAAATCAATCCTTTGATCCTTGTTCTTGGGGAGTGATTCCTCATGCAGGATGTATCAGAATAAACTACAATGTATATTTCTTCAAATGGATAAATCAATCCTTTGATCCTTGTTCTTGGGGAGTGATTCCTCATGCAGGAACGTAGGTAAGTATGCATATATGTAAGCAAAGGTTTTGCATTAAGATTTTTCTAATTATAAATTGGCAAGTTTTTGTTTTACATGAAAATGAACATTATTAGAGTTAATTCCCTGACCCTTGGTTTGAATGATATTCTAAATGTCCAATATATTGACCAGGACATTTATTAACATAATAGGGAGGTTAAGATACACGTTTTAAAAAAAACTTTTATGTAAACTTGTAGAATTATGGTTCTCTGTGGATAATTTTTCCCATTTGTACTATTTACTTGGCTGTAACTTAACCACCCTATTGTGAAAGTTACAAATCTTAATGTTCCATCTATATCTGACTAAAGACATCAATTGCTAGAATTTCTCATTTTTCATTCTCCAAATGCATCAACATATCTGCCACATCCTCTCTCTGCAGCATGAAAGACAAACATTTGCTGATGGAGAATGAGAATTTTTTAGTAGAGTTATATTCTATATTTTACTTCCTTTGATCATCTTTTTTCTTATTAATCATTATGTCCTAACTTGGAATTTCCCTGCCTTTGTAAGGTACTTCACTCCTTTGAATGGTTTGTATTTCTGAAATAAACAAGGAATTCACAAGACAAAATATTACAACCCGGTTGCAGTGTGACAATTTGATACAAAAATGGTGGATATAACAAGATGTCACTACAGTTAGGACTGCCCCTTAGTACAGCAATATTACACCATTCTAATATAATGTATCTCTGATACATGTGATAAGTTAAGTTAAAAGAAATGTCCAACAGTTACTTAAGATAATATTAGCTAAATAAAGCAAAGAAAAATCAATACATGTACAAAGTAAATTGCAAAATTTTGTTCTTACCTCTCCGTACATATCCAATCTGTTGACTTTCACCCCAGAGACGGCAAGTTGTGATATAGTGAAATTTACAGATATAGTTGGGTTGCTCTCGGGGACAGGCTGACCAGTTTGCAAGTTTATCTGAAATTTTATTTCATTTTGATAAATTATTCATATCACATACACGGGGGTAAAGCAGACCCGATGATGCAATGAGCTTGCTCGGCGGTATCATGACTGTGTAACGGGTCTTAATGTATAAGTGTGCTCGGCGGTAGGTTCAAACAATGCGGATCCTCAAAGCATGTGCTCATGGTATATTCGTGTTTTAACACCCGTGATATAGACATCCCTGATCCATCACTATCCGCAAATAAGTCTATTCAATGAAATAAAAAAAATTGAAATTCTTAATTTGATCATAATACAAGTATAATTACAATTAAAGGACAGCGTTCAAATGCTATCAGTTGTGAAAAAATCAAGTAAATTCCCACTCCCCTCTTAAAATGAAAACATGACATTAACATGTAGAATGTCACCACCTGCCATTTGTTACAGATGCCAAACACCAACAACTGACCATCAAACATCATCCACAAAAAATTTGGAGACTATAACATATGTCTCCCATTTTCTGGTGATGACATAAAAATCAAAAAATTCTGATCAACATTTTATTTTCAGTAACCCCCTCCTTCCTAACAAAATTAACTTTATTCTTCTAGACCCTTGAGATACATTGAGACACCATCAATGCAATCTTTTCATAAGCAACTGGACTTACATTTCCTCTTATATTTGGAAGTTTGTTAGTATCTATCTGGCCGACATCCCAGGTCATAATCTTAGATACGGGATCAAATGAGTATTTTCCTTGATTTGGTGTCAAAGTAACATTTAACACTGCCTTTGGGAATGGTATAACGAGGGAGACATTTTCTACCTGAAAAAATAAAAATAAATAAAGCATAAAAATAGCTGAAAAAAGGTGCCATTTCTCTAGAAACTTTCTCTTATGAATTGAATGGGTCTTGAATACTAGAATCAATTCAAATGCCTATTAAGAGACTGTCGGAAAACTCCCAGCTAAAGGATAATGTCCTATAAAGGATGTGTTCAAACTGAATGTGCTCCTTGATACATGAATTTATCAGAGTATGTACTAATAAACTTACTGTTTTCCCCATAGTCTGTCGTGGTCCCACTGTAATATCTAAACGTCCCCCACTTCCCTCTCTATATTGAATACTGTGCTTTAAATACACTGGAATGGCTACCATACTACAACAAGAAGATGAAGGGGAACTACATAAAAAATGAACAATTATAAATATGTTACGTATTTTCACATAATGATGTTACTACTTTCTTTGCTCTGGATCAAATTGTATTAAGTGCCAATAACTCAATTATTTTTTCATTGAAATGGACTGCTGAACTACTTTCACTAAAGTAATTGACTTTCTTGACTTCTTATTAAGTGTCAGACAAAAGTAGAGGCCTGTTCACTTTATTCCTTGCTAATTCCTCTGTATTGTGTTTATAATGTGCATAAATTATTATTGTGAAGGAAGAGTTCTTACTTTTGAGCTCCTATGTGGTATGACATCACTTTGAAAGCGCCATCTGGTGGCACAAATGATAACACCTTCTCACTCTGTAAGATAATAATTGGCAATGTTGGTGGGGCACTCAGAAATTGGCAATGATTAAAGGGTACTAAAGCAGAGTTATTTAACCAGCTGATGCAGGCCAATAATCAGAAATTTCCAGTGTGGTATGAATTAAAAGGTGGAGTTCAAACCCTGTGATCTGCTGAAAAATTGGGACATTTCCTGATTTTATTAAATTTGAGGCTCATTTTTCAGAATTTCTTCAAACCCACCCCCCAGGCTATGGGCCTGTGATGGCATATACGCATAATCATAGTGAGAGAAGGATGCAAGCTAAAAGTATAAGACAACCCAATCCACAAGAACTGGCTTTCAGAATGGGGCAAAATCAAATGCATCATCAATATGTGACATCAATATATGGGGATTCTTATAAATAATGTATGCAGCAAAGTCTGCCCTACCTCCCATCTCTTAAATCGAACACAAGGATGAAAGCTGACATCATCCAGAAGACGAGGATTAACAAATGATAGTGTCAGGTCTGGCATCCCACTTAGCTTGATCAGACAGTCTACCTGTAAAACAATAAATTACAGAAATGAATATCTAATTTATAATGAAAATCTAATTTTCCAAGAATCAAACTGTATATACAAAATTTAAGAGATAGGATGATAAAACAAGTAACTGATAATAGTCAAAATTAAGGATCTTTAACACCTGTTAAATGGGATACTGATTGAAAACCATTAAATTTCATCAACCTATTTCTTGAAAAATACACAATAACTCACATATCCTTGGATTTCTGCAGTAACTGTAGACCCTGATTTATCTAGTATTACATCTATTTCTTCTATCAGGTCAAAATATGCCTCATTGTTTGTGTATTTCACTCCCGTTCTTCTCCATGGCACATTGGAAAGTTGCCCTGTAGGAAGGGTGGAACTGACACTGAAAAGTTAAGATTCACTATTTTAGATTCCTGAGAAAATCTTAATATGAAATTAGTAGTGAACTTTAATTGTGCTATGGCTAAAATGAAAACAAGACAATACTTTTTAGAATTGTAAAATATTATAGTAAAAACTACTAAGTGGAAAAAGTCTATAAGTGGAACACCTTTGTAAGTGGAATGACCCATCAACCTTATGTTAATTAAACCTGCCTAAGTTGAACACTTGCAAAGTAGAACACTTTTTAGAGGTAAGAGAGGTTTTCCACTTACACAGGTTTTATTGCATTAGGTTACAGTAGATATATATAATTAGAATGCATAGAGTGATTAAATGTAAGACTGTAAAGTTATGCATATTATGAGACAGGCTAAGTGAGAATATAGCTCAGTGAAATGAGTTATTAGACTTGGACCTTTTTTACATGTAACTATCTTAATGCATACATGTACTAGGCTTTCTTTAATGTATGTACTAGGCCCTTAATGCAGACAGTATCTAGTTATTTGGGCCTTCAATTATACATATTCTAGGCCTGCTTATATATGTATACATGAAAATCTATCTAAATAAAAGTAAAAATAAAACGAGAGAATTAAAACTAAAGCTAGTTGTAAAGGTGCCAAAAGCTGTAAAAGTGTAGCTCTAGCATTAAAATTGTGGGTAAAGCAGAAACTCATCTTTCATAGTTGACTCTGATGACTAATTACATAATAAGGAATAACCTTTTCATAAAATAATGATAATAAGGCTAAAATGTAAATAAACATCCAATTCCTCAAAATAGTAAAAAGAACAAGAAGAATACAAGAGTAAATATTTAAAAGAATGCAGTCTTGCTTCAAGAATTTTGACCCCCCCTCCTTATCTACCTCAACAACAGTGGTGGTGAGTAATGGGGGGAGTAATAAGGGCTTGTAGCTAGACTATGAATTATGGGATATGCTTCCCAAGATGGACACTTACTTTGACCTAGTGATCATATCAGTTAGCTGGTTAGGGAGCCCTCTAGAGTGGAAAAGCAAATCACACATCAGTTAAAGCACAAGATGTACCCCAATCCCATAATGCATTAGCACCTTTAAAATCTGTACTATGAAAAGATGCTTATGGGATTGAAGTCCGCCCTTGAATACTTGCACACAGTAACTTTAGTACAATAGTCTAGAGGCACCAATCATATATTTTTCATAAATTGAAGACTATATGTTAGTTAATGTTACATATTTAGAATTGTGCACTTGAAATTAAATTTCTCCATTTTTTGTTTGAATTTTGAACTCAGTGAGTAGACATATAAAAGAAACTTTGTCATGTATTGCAGAACTTTGTTCATTGTTGTAATCAGTTGTGAAAGTTAATTCATTAACTTTATAATTAGTACAAGTACATTATCAAGAAGTATTAATTGTCTACAAAATGTATACAATGCCATGCAGTCGATTTTAATGTGTTAATTTATGACCTAATTGGGAACAAAAGGAGTGAATAGTCAAATCCTACAGTTTTAACATTATTTGTAAAATTAACTGCAAGCTCAACTAACATTTTAAACTGAAATTCATAAAAGTTGTCATTGTTTTTCTATGTTATAAATGTATGAATATCATTATATCAAATACCTTTTTTAATTCAAATCTGCAGGAAATTGACCAATTAGAAAGCTGAAGCGTTAAAAAGCTGCGTAGTTTTAACATACCACAGCGTCGCATTAAAAATCTTTGCTTTTTAAAATGCCAAGATGGAAATAAGAATTTATACTTTCCTTAAAAATATCAACCAAATGTAATGATCACGCCCAGTGATCAGGAAAATGGGAAGGAGGGGGAGCAGGCAATTTCTGCTAGAAAGTTTCCCCTCCCCCTCCATCCCATTTTAATTATTTTCTATTACTTTTTTATACAGTGTATGGAAAGTCATTTCATAAAGTCAGCAATGGCATTAATTTTGTTACGATTATGTCATTTACAAGTATTTATTACAGGTCATGTAGACTATGGTGTTTAAACTGCTTCTTTATTCGGTACATTAAATATTCCATACATACCAAATAAAACAAACAATTAACCAAACCTTCACCCAATCTATCGAATGTTTTTTTATTTTATCGAAAATAATAATTGATACAATTTATATTCGCTGAACAGTTTCACTTGTTCTTTGTGTTGGCAATTACTTTTGATATCTATACAAATGTATTTGTTTGATACAGCGATTCAATTTGTTTTCCTTAGCGCACGTATAAATCAATTGATTATTTATACATTCGGTATTTAACTTATTTATATTCGGTAAATACCGAATGCCACATTCGATAAATCGTTATTTTTCGATACTTTACGAGACTTTCAGTCACGTGATATATGAAAACGATGTTGAATAGCTGCGCGGCCATTTTGCAAAACTCGAGGTCATGTTACAAAATATCGAACATCAACGAAACTTATCGAATATTGGTTTAATTTTAATTATTGCATTCGGTAAATAGCAAATTAGCTTTCGGTAAAAAGCATTAACTTTGTTATTAAAAAATAAATCATTTGGTAAATATAGACTAACTTATTTCGGTAAGGGTTCAAATAGAAATTCGGTATTACGCATATATGTATTACTCTTAAGGAATACCATAACAGTTTACGCAAAACATATATCATTTAGTGAATAAAATATGTAATTAAATGCACATAGTATTAAGGGATTTAATCCATTGGCTTTTTTGAAAACTTAATTCGCTGTTACAAATATATAAATGTTTTTACCGAACGATAATTGATTTAGCGAATATAGATATTCCATATATCAAATATATTTGAATTTAACGAATAAAGAAGCAAAAATAATGCCATAGTAGACCATTGTTGCTTGATTTATGGCAAAACATTGACATATGCACGTTGGTGGCCTTACGCCTTTTTAATAGATTTCATATCTCAGAAATGTATTGATTCAAAAAACCCTAGAAGAGCTAACATATTTTATCATATACTGTGTGCCTATCCATTCAGCAATTAAATAAAATTAAACTTCTCCTGAAAAAATGAATCTTCCGCTTTGTTAAATTTTCTAGCAGAAATTGCCTGCTCCCCTCCATCCCATTTTTCTGATCACTGGGCGTGATGATCTCTATGTTAAACAAACATTTTCAAATTCCGATCTTTAGCCACCGTGTCATTTTTGGTCACCTTGACATTTCTTTGGTGTTACTTACTCACTGAACTCAACAAAGTAGCGTTCTTCAACAAAGCTAAGATAAAAAAAAAACATAAACATAATGATGACCAAATAAAATGATGACAATTTTTGAATTAAATGAAGAGAATTATCGAACAATGATAATAATTGTGAAATGAGCAAATACAAGGATAAAATGCTCTTATTCAATGGTCAAAACGATGAAAAATAGGATTCCAATACAATAATGACCATTATCTAATGAAATAATAATTACTATCAGAAAAAAAAATGATGACCATTCTCAAACATACTTCCATTCTCCTATACAATGATGAAAATTTTCTACTTCTGTATTAACAATGATGACAAAAGAAAAGTTATGTCATACTTTAATGACATACTGAGCCAACTCAGCCAATATGCTGATGGTTATAAAAATGATACAATGATGAGAATTACAGAATGATGAAACAATGATGAAAAAACGATACAAAGATGAAATTTTACACAGTAAATTTATGGTGTTCACAATATAACAAATTACCTCCACGTCTAATGACACAATTCAGAGAAGCGTAATTTATAAAAGTGCAAAATCATATTTTATTGTATACTTTTAAATTTTACAAGATAGAATTTGGATTTTGGTAATGGTGCATTTAGTATAGTGTACTAAAGTTAGAGATTAGACATACTTATTTGCTACAATTTGCCATGTTGTCATGACGTTTACTTTCTGACATGGATTTTTAAGAATATGTCATTAAAGCTACTTTTCTATCTCAGAATGCATTCTCTGTTTATTATATTAAATAATGTTTTTTTTAATTTTACATAAAAGCAAACAACACCTAAGAAATACCTACTGTAGTCACTTTTGCAAAAATATAATTTTATTTTAAAGAGAACAATTTGTGAACTCATATTTTTTCCCATTCCAGTGATTCTTATATAAGACAAACTTCTCTTATTTTTCCACAACATTTATTTCAGTTACACAATTTTGAAATAAAAAGTGACATTTTTGCAAATTATATCAAGAAGCATGTCAGAAAGTCACATCAATGAAAGCATAACATGGTGAAATATGCTACAGACATTCATGCTACACAACATGCAAAATTTGTGCTCAAGTACAGAACAAGAGAATTAGAATTATGTAGCCATGCAGATTTGAAAATAACTATTTTTTGTCAACTGCAAATTGTTTTTATTAGACTGGACTTTTATATATACAATTAACATTGTATTAGGCACCTATCCCCTAGTGAGCACCAACCCCACAATGTAACATATAAAAATTGAGAAAAACACAACAAAGGCATTTCAAGTTTTTATATGATATGGCTAATTCCCAAATCTGGTTGAATATCATAAAAGCTGCCCTACAGGGAGAAGACTAACCCATAAAGCATTGCATTGCCCAAAACCAAGCCACCAGAACCAAATAATAATGTATTTTTAAAATCAACATGAATTGGAAAAACAAAGATATAGGGGTTAAAATATCGACGTCAATTCATATTAAGATTAATGCATTTTGTGTGTTTCTGGAAGTAGATTCCACTTGCCCAAAAAAGGAATTAATAGAAAAAATTTATTCATTGGTTAATGAAAACACAGCTCACAGAATGAAACTCATTCATATATTTGCAAGAAAAAAAATTATCCAGGGACTATTTTGTTCTGTGATCAACTCAATTTTAACCAGGCCTGTACCCCACGGGTTCCCATAATCTACCTATAGGTGGCACTTACGTAGTTGACTGACCCGTCACAGTGCTTACAACACTTCTCAAGATAGATGGCGGTTTAATCAGGTCTTTTAGCATGTTGTTTTCCATCATAAGTGGAAACCCATTATCCAACATTTCCTCCATAAGCTGTTAATATTTGTAAAAAATATTTGGAAATCAGCATTTAAAATTGGACAGAGCAGGGAATAATAAAACATCTGTCAGGGCCAACCTTTAGCAAGCATAAGTAAATTTGAAATATGACAATGGTGTTCCATGGGGCAAATAAATAGTCATTAAGCAAACAGCAATATTGCCTATTGAATATAAAATTAGTTACAATTAGTACAACAGAAATGTGCAGAACAGCAGCCAAAAACATAATATACAGTAAAACCTGTATTAGTGAACACTAAATGCACAATACAAAGGTTTGAGTGAGACCCCAAGTGGGAAATTTTGGGAATTTGACATGTAATATTTTCCCAGGAAATGGGACTTTGACAGAGTATTTCGTTCCTTGAGTACAGAACTTTTACTATATTTGACCAGCTATTATTGCTCCCTGGGTGGGGAGATTCAATCACTAGGTTACTCTCTGGATAGGGAATATGACATCCAATCTTTATTTTATCAACTCCCCAGCCCTTCCTACATGGGGGTCCCAAGAATACCACTGAATGGTGCATAGATAACCAGTACATATTCCTTAAATTATCCTCAACAAAACGTATTGAACAGTGTCCACTATACATATTTTATTGTATTTTAGGATTTATTAAAATTATCGAAAATTAAAATATTAATAAATATATAGGTGTGATGGACCTGTGCAAAATATACCATTTGGTCCTGAATATTCCATTATGCAATTTCTTATTAGAATTATTTAAATGAACTTCAACATTAAAGTTCCATTTTTGAAACAATTCACAGGTTTACATACACTTTCTTATTTATTCAATCCAAAATCATCAAATATGCAACATTTTAAGGAGAATATTATTGTCCATTTCGGATATTTTACAAGGTCTGTGTAACCACCATAAGCAAAAATGCTACAGGGTGACACAAAATCTAGTACAACTGTATTATAATTCAACAACTAAATTTATGAGTCACCCTGTATAACAAAATATAAAAGCAGACAAGGTGCATAACTAAATAGAATAAAATAAAAAGATTACTGTAAAAACTAAAAGTAAAGAGAAAATATTAATAAATGTTAAACAAACCCCTATAAAGGATGTACAAACAACATAGAATAAACATGCTGAACTCAATCCAACTGCAATTTGTTGCATCACAACTTGTCAAGCATGTGACAAAACAAATGAATGCAGGGTTGTGACATCACAATATAAACTTGTGACATCACACTGAGTCTTGCAATGACTTACTTAGAAGATTTGCCGGTGACAGTGTCGGTGATAGTTCTGAGGAGGTTTGGGGGTCTTATTAATTCTTTTAAAATATTAGACTCTGTTGCTAAGGGGAATCCATTGTCTAACATCTCATCTAAGAGCTAACATGGGAAGCAGAACAAAACAATTGATTTTTTGTTATTAAGACCATTTAAGGAAAAACATAACATGCATCCATAGTCAAAAGCCAAATAAGGGAATAAAATGCAAGGTTTTATCTGTATTTTGCTAATCCCAGGTAATATATTACTGTACATTTATTGTCAAAGTTAGATATGCACTTTATTTCTGAATTAAAAAGAGCAATTACTCTACATTATTTTTCTTAAGTTTACAGAATATTTTTGAAAAGCATCTCAGATAGTTAACTTTAAATTTTTCAAATTCCTACCTCATACACGATAACATAATTTTCTTTAATAGAGGACTCTGTGCATTCCGTGAAATAATCCTCAAACATTTCTACCACACGATGTAGAAACTCAATCACAAACAATGGAGGGACTGAAAAAACACATTATTATTTAATAGTAAAGTCCACATCTTACTCACTGTCTACATGGGATGCTGCTTTTTATTTTTATTTTTGACAGATTTTTACTTGGATCAGAATTTCTAATATCAACACAAAATTACAATAAGTAGTAAAAATTTTTATGATGTAATAAAAATGAGTTTTTCATGCTGTTAAGAATTATTAAAATTATTAAATTACATAAAGAATTCCTAACTTTTAATCTGAATTAATTCCTCGCTTACCTTCTGTTGTAACTACGGCAACAAAGTAGAGTTGATTTCTGTAGATATTTATGAGATAGTGATGGGGGGTACGTATAACTGGTGGGACATCCTCAGGTGTTCCAGCCTGCAAATATTCACAATATTTTACATGCCTGTAGCCAGCTGGGGGCTTGATTCGCTCCAATCCCCAAAGCACCCCCACACAAAAATATTTTTCCCATGTTAAACCATTTTTTAGGAAATATCAGGGGGAGGGCTTGTATGAGCCCCCGAGCCCCTTTTATACACGGCTGCTTTAACAAGGACAATATCAGTTATCAAATGTTTCAGCATGTGATTCAGGAAATATTATGTGAAAGGTAATACTGTATCATTCAAGAAAGCAAAGCTTGAACGGTATGCTACATTGTCACCCGAGTGGAATATTTCCTGTATCACATAAGCTGAAATGTGTGATGATGATTTTATCACATGTCTAGGAATTTTGAAGCATTTTGATTTGGTCATATGATTGTATTCAGTACTCTGTACTCCCGGTACTCAAACTCAAACGGTGACCAACCAATCAGATTACTGTGATAAAAAATGTACAACATGTCCCTATCAATAGGTGATCTTATTAGATTTTTCATACTGAATGCCAAACACTAATCAGTTGAAGAGACAATATTTTAGTGCTCATAAGGAAACTTAGAAATATGAATGTGATCACATTAAAAATGACTAATCTATAGAGTAGAAGTTTCTCTATGAACAAAACATTTAGCTCTCAGCTTCAACAATTTAATAAGTAACTGCAGTACTGATCTTTTTGGTAGATAATATACACCCTGTATTTGAGATGGTAGATAGTTTGTCAACCCCTATCTATGTGATCCTACCTTTAATTGCTATTTGTATTTTCTACATTTTTCATCCCTGGGAATATGACCATAGTAATTAGTAAATGACTTGACATCTCACCTTGCCTTGAGCCTCGAAGAAATAATCACAGATCGATCTATTAATGACACTTTTCCAGTGCTTCTCCATGAAGACATCCCTGAAAAATACAAAACAAACTAAAATCAGCAAAATCAAAGTACATGTACTAAATATTGTTACAGGAGAATGAACTCAAGGATTACTGTACTCCTAGTACTTTCCGTGTATGATTTAGTTTCGCACTTTTCCTGATTGTGGTAAAATAACAAAAAATAAGTTTCTCAAAATTTGCCAAATCATATTCAATACTTTCTTACAAATGAAGCGCAATAATCAGTAAAATTGCTGTTTTCATCAGTCAAGATGACGGTCATGCTTTGAATCGAGACGCGTATCATTTGCAACATTTTAAAAATTGATAAAATTTTGATTTTGTGAAAAAAATACTGCAGACACGAGCGGACTCGATACAAACTCACCTCTTGTAAAGGGCAAACTCACCTTACTTTTTATCATCAAAATGGTGCCCAAAAATAACACGATCCCAAGCACAATTGTCTAATATCATTGATTTAGCTGCAAATTTTGAACTTCCCACCATCTTCGAAATATCATTTGTGACCCCTAGGGTAAACAAATAATAATGACCGACAGGACGTATTTCCTTTGAGGTCACATATTTCTGGATTTATGAACAACCCAAAGTCCCAAGGAATAATTATTTTCTATTGTGTTTCTACTGCTTTTTAAACATTGTGTTTTTACAACTGATCTGACTATTTTCCAGTAATAAACATTGATTATCACCAGAGCAGTGTGAGCAGCAGATACACCGTGAATCAGTTCCAGGTCAGAGGGATGTCTATGTATGTATGGAGTTGGTATCAAATGGGACAACCCTTCTGTTCACCCAACAATGCTATGCTCCAATTCCAGAAAATGACAGTATAAAAATGTTTAAAAAAACGAAAAAAATTGCAGGAAGATCATTGAAGACCTTATTCTTCATAGATCTCTCATAAACTATTTAAAGAACACACTGACGGTGACTTTGCAGGCCCGTAGCCAGGATTTGCCAAGGGGGGTTCAGTTTTCAAAAATTTCCAGGGGGTCAAAATGAGTGCAGAAGTATTTTCCCAGGAATTCCAACCAATCAGATTTCACATTTGGCGCACTTGAGCAAAAATTTTTAAGGTACAGCTGGAAAGTAACATTTTGGTAAAAAATTGATCAGTCGTTTAATTGGCATATTTTCTTGAATTTTAACATTTAATGTCCCAAACTCCCACAAACTGCAGAAAAGTATACACCATAAATCATATTTACCAAAATAAGTGTCTCCAAGGCTTCACACCAGCGTATGCATTATGCATTTGTCACGAGTTTGAGCTGAAATTTTCCCAAAATGAAGTAGGCTAAGGGTAGTCTCTGCCAGGTTTGTTTATTGTGGTAAGCTTGTAAGTGCTCAGAAGCAAATAATTCACGTGCGCAAAAAAATCAAATAATATGATTGGTTTAAACTTTGCTGCACATGCGCACAATGTGTGCCATATTTTTTCTGATTTCGTTTCGTTTCATGGAGTTTCCGTTTCAGTGTAACTTCCGCAAAAATGGCTGACCAAGGACAGAATTAACAGGTAAAATCATTTCGAAATTTCAAGAGAACTTTTTACCTATAAGAGCAAAACTTTTGTTTTATTTGTGCATTCTATCTATCAGATAAGAGTCTCAGGGGTATGTAGGCAAATTCATTTTGGTAGGAGCACTCTGTTTAGTTTGAAAACGCACCCTTAATTATTATATATCAGCACTGTACCTGCACATGTTATTTTCTGGTACAAAATAAAGTATGAAGGCATGTATCAATTTCCTTGCTTTTTTCAGGAAACTATCATTACATTGTCTTCTTTTAGATTATCTGGTAGGCATTCAAAGGGAACTCCAGGGAATTCTGATATTTCACACTTCCTGTTTTTCCAAATTTTCTTTCAAAGTTTCCAGACAACACAGGAGCTACCATTGACCTGTTTCCAGGTTTACTAAAAATAGACAGTGTAATGATACTTTCCTGAAAAAAGCAAGGAAATACACACATGCCTTCATACTTAATTATGTACCAGAAAATAACATGTGCAGGTATAGCAATTTTTTACCAAAATGTTACTTTCCAGCTGAACCTTAAACTTGAAATATTCCGAGAGATTATGAACATATTTAAGGACATTTACTTAGAGTAATATAGCCGCAAGTTGACCATAAACAAGCAATAGTCCACAATAGTGAGTTCAGAGTTATACCTGCTAGTGCCAAACTACCTACTTTACTTTTGAAAGTAAAGCCGATAACCAAACCTTTTGCTTTTCGTCATAAAATTCACCGACAAAGCTGCTTGATGATTTCCACCACCTTGATTTGGTATATCTGTTTAGAAATCATATATAACTTACCCCGAACTATTGATGATAAATAAACTGTGAATCATGGTGGAGAATTGGAGGCCAAAACCATCAAAATATGCAAAGAAATAACAAGCGGAAATTCAAGAAAATCTCAAAATTCGATGATGACGTCACACGTTACGTCCCACTTCAGATAAGGTTGTCGTAAATACTGCACTGAACGAAGCCAACTGGTACAGAAACTATATTATCCCCGGGATATATAGAGATTATCCTATATGAGGTTCAGGATATTGGGATTATCCCGAGGCAAATATAATATATCTACCCGAGGGCCGCAGGTCCCGAGAGAAAATATATTATATTGGCCAATATACTATACCTGCTAGCTCGGAGCGGGACGTATAGCTATATCTACCCGCAAGATCAAGTTTTTACAAACTTGACTGGCTTTATGTACCAGTAACCTGTCCCAAGTATGGGATAAATAAGGGTTATGTACTTGGAGGTTTTGGATATAGGGTATATCACAAGGGATATATTTATTTCTCCCCGGGGGACCGAAGGGACCAAGGGGAAATATAAATATTTCCCGAGGGATTTATCCTATATCCAAAACCAACAGTACATAACTGGTATATCTCATACTTGAGTGGGTTTGTGGTAGATATAACCTTTTCCACCTTTTTCAAATGACAAGATAGGCCTACACTGTAAAAGCACAATTATATTTTACATTTCGTAATATTGATAGTTCTGATAGTTCAATACAATGAAATTGTAACATTTAAACTTTTTAAAACATTTTAGATTTTTAAACTTTTTAAACTTTTGAAAAATTTCCGGGGCAGGATGGATATATTATAGGATATCTGCCCGCATTTGGCCTGGAGCCGGACATTTACAATATATCCGGCCTGCTCCTCAGATATGATATATATTCTCGGGTGATATATACCCCAAACCCAAATCAGGCATGAGATACGACCAGGTTTCGTAGACAATTTATTGTGCGCCAATTAAGTACCAATAGATTGCATGTGTAGGACAGTGCAGATGATGTGATGTGAAACATTTAACTCCTTCTGAGAATCCCGGCTGAGAATAGACTGAATAACCATCTTGGGAAATATTATGAATTTAGATGATTGATCATTTTTTATTCACGGCGACTAATTTGTCTATGTACACTTTGTCTATGCACACTATGGACATCATATCAGGGTGTTCTATTCTTAGTAAATGATTCTTCAAATACCATTTTAGAAGTCAAGAATCCAAACTACATAAACTGGGTACTACAAAACTGACATTTGTATTTCTATTATAAACTCCTTGATCCATGGCGTTATACTACACTCTTTTTGAGCATCACAACTTAACATAAAGGTCAAAATAATCTTTTAGAAAAACTGATCCGTGTTGAATAATTTGCATTTGGACCAATGTTTATACGTTTTGACTTATTTACTGTATCTACCGTCCTTAATCCAGAGCAATGGTTGTGGTGGCTTTTCAAAATGGAACACGGGTTTAGTCCAGTTTTATTCAATTTGGCTGTGATTATATACATTAACAGGTTTTCAACACCAAGTAAATTTATCGGAAAATCAAGAAAATCAAGGCTCCAGTTATCGAAAGCTTCTTTCATAAACATTATATGGACATCGTGAGATCCGAAATAATGTCTGCTGCAGAAGTTCCTGTTGAATGTACAGTTGGGCAATAGTGAAGAGTGACGTGTTAAACAATACGCAACTTGGCGATCAATAAGGTAACTTTCTTTAATCCTATCAAATCCATCTCCTAGAGATATATCAGCATTCATTACAGCAATGTTCTTAGACATCAAATGTTCATTGGCATATTTGGCATAATCCTTGTAAGTGGGGAAACTTCGAACCTTGTGAAAATGAACCATAGTATTTATGTCAGGTGCTGAGAAGAGTGTTGTGTTCATTGATTTTAAATAACTTTCCAAATCCATGTTTTCCACAAGAAGATGTATTTTCTCAACACAAGGATGCTTCATATTCAGTGCAAGAGAATGCACGAAGTCCATTTGACGACTTTCAAATTTTTCGTGAGATTCTTTGAAAAATCCATGTGATTTCATATCGTACGTCGATTTCAGCATTGGAAAGGTCGTAATAACGTTCAGCATTACACCACACGTCTCATCCCGGGCTCTTCTTTTGGCTTCGATCAATGATGATAAATGTTTCTGTTGCACATGTAAAGTCTCAATGTTTCTCTTCTTGTTTGTATTTAGCGCTGTAGTGATGTATTGAGTCACAAAGATCACAACAACAAACAACACCAAACTTCTAATGTATTTCATCCTTGACTGCATTGCCATTTTCATGGTGCAACTTTGCCAATAGCTATGAATATAAAAGGGTTAATCGTTCAGCTGTGAATCAAAATAAATGGCTATATTTATGTACCATGAAATCATGCTCATATATACAACACTGGGTTGAGTGGTCGTGTTGGTTGACTACATCTTGGTTATTTTTAGCTGAACACAGCTTAGGACTTAGCTTAGCTCAAAAGTCCGAAAAGAGATTACGAATTTCAACACATTATTTCGTCCTAATGTCCCAATATACCAATTCACGGGCTACTAGAGTTTCCACGTATATGGAGTATGACCGGTTCTTAGGCTACGAATATGACCTGTTTTGTTAATTGGGTGTTTCGATAGCATTGAAATAATTTTAGCATATACGGTGGAAAAGGGTCCTTTACCCTCATGATACTTTTATTTACACAGGCTGGTATCGAAATATTTGTCCGCTGTGACGGAGCATGCTATTTTTCATAAAAACACTAAGAATACTCCACGATTTATTTTTTAACTCATGTTTAGTTATACCATACAAAATTACTTACTCCATGCAATGGTTATATCATTTGCGGGTAACTTTCACTTCTGTTTGAAGTCCAATTACGCTGGGAAGAAAAGCTATTGAAAATGGCGCCGGAGTATCATACTTCAAAATGTACCATTTCTTGTTTAACTTTCTAATGGCACCATATAGTGACACGATAATATTTACACATGGTTTCAGCATAACTATGAAGGTATAAATGAGATGTTGATTTATTTGGTCTTTTTAATTCTTTTATAAAAAATGATGTTTAATTTTTTTGTCCGCTATGACGGAGCAGTTGCAAATGTGAACTGTGAAAATGCTCCGTCACAGCGGACAAAAAATTATTAATATTATTTTTTATCAAAAAATTAAAAAGACCAATTGCATTAATATCTCATAAATACATTCAGAGTTATGCTGAAAATATATGTTAATATTATCGTGTCACTATATCATGCCATTAAAAAGTTAAAAAAGAAATGGTACATTTTAGAGTTTGATACTCTTGCGCCGTTTTCAATAGATTTTACTCCTAGCGTTACTGGACTTCAAACAGAAGTGGAGGTTACACGCAAACGATATATCCATTGCATGGAGTAAGTAATTATCTTTGATATAACGAAACATATGAGTTAAAAAATAAATCGTGAAGCATTCTTGGTGTTTTTATGAAAAATAGCATGCTCTGTCACAGCGGACAAATCTTTCGATACCAGCCTGTGATTTAGAAGTAAAGTAGACTGTGGACCACGTCTAAGAGCGATCTGATATAGTGTTTGGCTCCTAGACGTTGTCTGCTCCAAGAAGAAGGCGAACTTATTTGAAGTTTGAAATGTGAAACTGTATAGTCACACATCAAAGGAATATCGCGAACGGCAACACGTCATTCAATATCAATACATACTCTCTCCCGAGTGTACACTCGTCAGTCAGTACACGCTCTCATCCGAGTAAAGTTTCGTCTGTACAGACTTTCATCTGAGTGCATCCTTCTCAGTACACTCTCTCACCCGTGTGAAACCACGTCATACATACTCTAACCTATGACCCGGGTGCACCCTAGAGTGTAAATACTTTCACCAGACGAGTGCACCCTTGTAAGTACACTCAAAACCAGGGTACCCTCGTGATGACACACTCAACTACAATGCACCCGGATGAGAGTGTGTACTGACGATGGTGCACTAGGGTGAGAGTGTGTACTGACGATGGTGCACTCGGATCATGTGATGACGAGGGTGCACTCGGGTGAAAATGTGTACTGATATTCAACTATTAATGTGTTCCCGATTGCGAGATTCATGTAATGATGTACAAGTATAATATACTTAGAAATAAATCCCATGAAAATTGAACTTAAAGATATGTTGGAATTCTACATTTTTGCGATCGCATGTGGTAAACTGCCACTTACGTTGCGATCTTCGTTGCGACAACCCCGTGATAAAACGCAACGCGAGAGTTGCGCCAGCGCAAATTGGAGATTCGCAAACGCAACGCAGACCCAAACGCAAAACTTGCGACGAGCGCGTGATAAGGCCTCAGATTGCTCAACCGATTGTCCACTCTATTCAAAATGGCCACCATTTTTTCATACGAAATGTAACATTTGATACCCCAAATACCAGTTGATGGAATTGGCTCAAACTTTATATGCTGTGCTGTAGGGACATACATATACGACTCTGCTCAAGAAGGGGTTTTCAAGATGCCTGTTCAAAGGGGCCACCAAGCAAAACGGCCGCCATTTCTAATCTTTTACCAGTTATAAGCTTATGTCATATGGGCAATGGACCTCTTCTCAGGAAGAAATTTCCAATATGACCACTCAATTCAAAATGGCCGCCATTTTTTGTAAATATGTGATCTTTGATAATTAAAGGCAGAATCATATCTATGGGGGGGGGGTGATAAAATTACAAACAACAATACATTGGTGAAGTTATAATGGATTCAAAGCGCAAAAATGGGTGAAAAATGTTTAAATTCTTCCAATCAATAAGAATGGTAACCATTCTGATAGAAAGATAACGTACATGTAATACATTATCGTAAAAATCTTTAGTTTTCCTGAAATAAAGTGTGCACTTTTTGGATTTTTAGAAAATAGACATGAAAAGGAATGACATATTCTAAAATTGAAACAATTTTTTGTTAGGCTGCTCGCTAGTTCTGATTCTCTCTTTAACTCAAAACATTCTATATGCTAAGTTTAAATAACCAGGATGCATTCTGTTTGATCAAAGGTAAAACGAAACTCAGTATCATTCTATGCGGGAAACGCGAGGGTCAGACATTTATCTGAAGTGGGGGTGTTTGCTTCGAATCAAAACCTCAAGAATATAACAACTGGGCAATAGGCGAGACGATCAACTACAAGGGCAACAATGAGGAGTCAGAAATTTAAAATAAAATGATGCTTCATGCACAGTCAAATTACATTTCATTTGTAAAATTGACCTGTATGCCTTTGCATAGATAGATGACAAATCATGACAAGTCGACAGTCGAAAAATTTTGGAGCCTATAACAACAACTCTTTGACCTTCGACCTGCATCTGCGACCTTCGACCTGCGACGTATTGTATGTTCAGACTATTTTTGAAATAAATACATTTATTAAAAAACTGCGATATTCAATTTCCTAGGCCAGTGCCGTTTTCTCATAGTTTATACTTGATCATATGTAGTTCCCAGTTAAGATTCTTAAGTTTTTTCTTACACTAATTGTTTCCAGCAACTGTCCCTAGAGAAGTGAGGCTTGAGTAAGAGTCATTATATTTCACCCGATGAGCCTGTAAAATGTAACCCTGGCTCGAAAACGTTGAATTGTATGAGAACTACACTGGCCAGTACTATAATGGGTTGCGGTTTGATATCATTTTTATGGGTCATGGTTTTAATACAGATACTGCTATTCAAATCACGGAGTCTCACACAGTAATTCGATTTCAACTGAAAACTCTCAGTGTGGTAATCACATACGGATTCTACAGTTACCGTGACATTAAAATATGGCCGGAATTTATTTTGTTCTTTACTGTCGCTTCGTCAGAGGGGCTATGGATAACAATTTTTGGGGCTTGTTTCGATGTACATGAAATTCATAATTATATAAGAGATAGCGAATAGATTTGAAAACTCTCGAATAAAGTACCCGAATCTGTTACAGGTAAATAATGGGATTTGTATGATCACTGGTGAGATTTAGAGTTGACGTAGCGGTGAGTTGTCGTATCTAGCCAACTATATAAATATATGTGTAAACCGAGATATAGGGGCTATCAAGAAAAAGGTTTTAAATCATTATGATCACAAATTACCGTTCGGACAAAGCAATAATGGGCAAATTAAAGATACATTTGCTCGCCATCTTGTTACTGAAACGTTAGTCATCGAAAGAGTCAACCCACTGTGAACATGGGCAAATTAAAGATACATTTGCTCGCCATCTTGTTACTGAAACGTTAGTCATCGAAAGGGTCAACCCACTGTGAAACTATGGTTAGCTCAGCTTTTATTTATACCTTTTTAAACATAAATAGGCTGTCATTAAAAATATGGGTTGAGGGGGGATTGGGATCAAGGCGGTTTCCTATATTCTTTAATTTAAATGGCTGTAATCTATAGCTGTCACTTCTCCGATTCTAGAACTCTTACCAAACAAATCAGGTTCCCTGTTGATTTCAAAGCTAATCCCAAGGCCTTATAGGAGTTATATTATCTTTAAATTACCAATATGATTTTTAAAGTTGTGTCCACGATCCGATATCCTTAAATACCCTGCCCTGTAATAGTGTTCTTTAAGCAAATACTAACTCACTAAATAGTTTTTTACAATTATATAGATTCGTAGTAACCGTGAACACGTTTTTACATCAAAGATTGGTTACAAGAGCACTTAAAATATCTCAAGTCTTGTCATTATTGTTTAATCATTTTTATAGATAATCTTATCGACGTATCGAAGATGTTAGCTCCTTCGTGTTACTGTTTGTTTATTTAAAACACGAGAGAAGGAGTTGTTAAGTAAAATCAACATTTTGTGGAGTTCATGTATTATTTTTTGTTATATAAACAAAACTGTCGGAATTCCAAGTGAGTTGCCAGATATTTGGATTAAGAGTCGATCGGCAAGACTAATAGCTAAATAACAACTGGAAAATCCAGGGAGAGAAAATTGTTGTCGAGAAATTGTACTGGTAAGTTCTTGAAACTTTAATTCTTTTCAAAGTTAATGCGCATTAATTGAATTTTTTGATAAGAATTAAGGTGTAATACCAGAATTTACTTGTTTGCGTTACTTGAGTTTATGTTTATTTGGTTGTGAAACTAAATCAAGAAATGAATGAACTGTTGTTTATAGTATGTGGGCAAACTTGTAGTGCTAAATAAGCATTTTATTTCTCAAGTAAGAGAAGTATGTACGCCAAGGTCTTGACTTAATTTAACTATTTTTGGAAAGTTTTGGTTAGGGCAAACCAATGCCAAGAGTGGGTACAATATAAAACTTAGAAGACAAATCTTTGTAATAAAACTTAGAAGATAAATCGTTGCTATTTTAATTGCTTGTAGTTTGAACT